CAGGGAAATTCCCAGAGAGATTCCCAGTGAGACTTCCCAGGGAATTCCCTGCTAATTACGTTAATTATGGGCTGGGAATTCCAGCCTCCACTCCYGGGATTTTCCAGTGGGATTTTCCAGTGGCAGGGCTGGGAATGGGGAGGGGAAGAGGGGCTGGATTTGGGAAGGAAAAACCCCTGGAAAAACTTCCTGAAAAAATCTGCTCCCTGTCCTCGGCCTTTCCCTTCCGTCCACAATCCCAAAGAATCCACACTTCCCAGGATTTTTTTCTCCCGACATCCTGCAATTCCCAAATTCCCAAACCCCAAAAACACTCAGGAGCTTTCCTGGGAATTCACAGGAGGAACAGCAGGAATCTCCTGCTAATCTTTCCTATTTCCAGTTTCCCCTTTATTCTCTTTTTTCCCCTTTATTCTCATTTTTTTCCCTATTTCCATTTTCCTCCTTATTCTTACTTTTTCCCCAGTACAAAATCAAGGTGGATTTATTCCCAAATCCAGGAACTTTCCCAATCCCTTCCCGAACATCCCTGGAAATTTTCCCATTTTCCAAAAACTCCACTTTTCCCCACCCCAAACCACCAGAATCACAGAATTCCCTCTTCCCACACCCCAAACCCACTCCATAAATCCCGGAATTTTTGGAAGCTTTCCTCAAACCCCTCCCCAAGGGATCTCCAGGGGTTTGGGAAGATCCAAAGGGATCCCAAAAATCCCAAATCCTGCCCGGCTGTGGATTCCCACGGCCGCTCCTCAAAAAAAAAAGGGAGGAACGAGGAAATTCCCTTGGGAATTCGGGGCTCCAAAATCAGGCACTGCCTTCTGGGAATGACGGAAAGAATTTTTTGGGGGATTCTCCTTTTTTATTATTTTAAAAAAAGCGCAATTCCAGGAATTCTGGAATTCCCCAAATTTCAGGGAAGGATTGACCGTGACCCCCCCCAAATCCCGGGATTTTGGGATGGGGGGGAGATGACCGTGACCCCCCAAATTTCAGAATTAGGGAATGGCCGTGACCTCTCCAGATCTTGGGATTGAGGAGAATCCTGGGATTTTGGGATGGGTGACCCCTCAAATACCAGGAATGGGGGATTGCTGTAACGCCCCTAAATCCTGGGATTTTGGCATGTGAGGGGGGACCGCGACCCCCTTTAAATTCCAGGATGGGGAATGACCGTGATCCCCAAAAATCCCGGGATTTTGAGGGGAAAAAGCTGACCGTGACTCTTCCAAATTCCAGGATGGGAAATGACCGTGATCCCCA